GCTGTTTTGTTCACATACAATATCGAGGTTTTAATGATAAACCCATCAGTTAACAGTGAAACAAAATGGACTGAGTTGTAGACTAGCGCGAGGACTCGCCCTTTTTTCGTTAGATTTTAATTTTAATACTTGGCTTCGGACCCGACAAGTCACCGGACGTTCGAGAAAAGGACCCTTCAAAGCCGTAGTTAGTATAAGGCTGGAGAGGCTAAAAATCTTGAAATCAGTTTTCCAGAACTCACGAAAATTTTCGACAGATCATTGGTATCAGCTTGTTTCAGGCAGTGTCAAACGTTCCAGTAACGAGAGGAACTGTTCCTTTCTTCTCTAACTGGACTGTAAGCTTGTAGATATGAATTCAATTCTTGCTTTCCGGTGAAGCAGAATCCGCTGATTACACTGAAGCGTCAAGATGATCAGCGGTAATAGAATTAAAACGTTTTTGAAAGCTCAGGTTTCTTAATAAATTTTCCAAATATAATACTCGTTACCTAAAATTCGCGAAATTTCCACTTGATCTGTAGTTTCATGAGCAGTTCACCCTCCCACGAACTGCATTGTATAACATAGATCAGTTAAGTTTCATATGCGTTACTTATTTATTGTGGATACGAACAAAGAATAAAACGTAAACAACCAAAGGCGGTTGCGGTAAAATGTTTAATTTTATCTTCCATCTGTCCCGGTGGAAAACTAGCTGTTTTTCAATAATACTCGTTTCAAAACCCCCATTTGTTACCGCCTCTCTCAGCTTTAGGTCTTTTGCTGTTGTTTTCCACAATTCACGTGGTCACCTCCTCTTCGTTCCCTTCACACGTGATCCCATAAAGGGTAACGTGTAAACCGAAATCTCTGCTATACAGTATTTTACATATTTCGCAATTGTCGCTGTTTAATTGACGCCTCTTCGATCGGTGGTCATAAAGAATATGAAAATACGTAACCATTTCGGATAACAGTGTGAGTAAAAGAGATTTATGTGATTAATCTGTTCTATATGTTCCACGGACGCACTCTAAGAAGGACTAGTAAAACTTCATTGCTGAAATATCAGTCGAAATTCTATTTACGGCCAACCTTTATTATTTACTTAACATCACCGCCACTTGTCCCTAGCTTTCTCGAGAGTGCCGGATTCGATTGTATTCTTCCAAATACAACAACAGTTGTTCGGTCACGTGACTGGTTCAAGCAGCTACTGAAGTCAAAACATACCGAACAATTCTAATTGATGATACTTGGGTCAGTTTTTGATGACCTATCGATAATTCCAACATTTGTTTGTCAGTAAAGACTGAAGTTACCGAACGTGGTCATATACGTAAGCTAACAAACCAGTTTTTCCGGTTTTACTCGTTCGGTAGGTTCGAACCAAATAAAAGCTCTGCTTTACAATTCTGGTCTCAGTCTTTGTCCGCAGCTGAGGAAAGCTAGTGTTCGAGATGGCTGGGGTTCTGTCCTATATCGCAGGCATGTTTTTTGTGATTACCGTAAGCGAGGCGTGCAAATGTGCCGTGGTCCACCCACAGACGAGCTTCTGCATAGCAGACTTTGGTGAGTATAATCTGCAGTTTCATCATGCTGACTCGAGAGCGCGCGATCGTATCAGTCAGTTTTCCATCATGAGTTAACCTGGAATGGATACATTCCAAAGTTTCTTACTATCATGATCATCTGTGATTAAAAGATCCGCTTTAGAAAGACTCCGTGAACAAAATAACGAGAAAACTTTACCAATGAGGTCGAATAATTTGCAAAAGGCGGCATTGAACTGATATCGAGGGGCGGGTGTAAGGTCTTTAACTCAAAAACCCTGTAGTTATTTTAGACACTAGGCATTTCTTAATTCCTTCTAAGCAGTCTGATTTTGTCTGAAACTCTATAAGTACATTACTGAATTCTGTAACGAAGTATATTTTAAAGTAACTTTTTAGCATGTTTGGAAATGTAAATGAAATACTGTGTTGTATGAAATTGACTGTGACTGCATTGTGCAATTGAGGCACCAGATGTTTCAAGGTAGGAATGCGAACTATACACTCAAGCGCATGAAAAAAGACGCAGCTAGTATGAGCATCAAACAAGGAAATCTGTCTCCTGTCTTGTCGGTACATTGTTTGGCGCGAATGGTTTGTTTCCTTCAATGACGAATTACGAAAAAAACCCATAACAACTTCGCCGATTTGTATGAACAAGCTGTCCTCTTCTAACATTTCGGGCGATGCTAACCGTTTCCCAAGGCGCGTGACATCATGCACTGCATAAATGAGGAAACTGGCACAATTCTTCCGAACGGATGTACTTCATTTATTCTAGCCTAATATCTTTCACTTTAAGGTCAGAGTCAGCTTTGGAGACACGTATGGCAGCCTCGTTGGAGCCTACGCAAAAATATTCTATGATGTAAAAACTTTTCCAAGCCTTTTCAGAATGCTCGGTGCAGTATTTTACACTTGTCTATTACAATCTTTATGATGAGGTCAAAGAAAACTGTTGAGTGCCTGCATTGTACCCTACAGAATTGGCATAGTATTTTTCTTAATTATAATTTCGTAATTAGCTCTAAAAGGGTTAAAATTTCCTCTGTCAACAGTCTTCAAGAGGGAAACATTATTTTTTCCGGTCCCCAGATTGATCAGTTCCGTCGCGGTTTTATTTACTTTGTCGCTTACCCAAGAGTACTTATCTAATGAAAGGAAGCAACAGAATACTAAAATGCTACTTTCCGGGATGAGAAACTGAGCACTACTTTAATATAATAAGTTGCTTAAGTTGGGCAACCGCCAAATGTTTCAAAATGACTACCTTGTAGAGCAGAACAGATAATTAACATCACCTTGAATTTGAATCCTCAGTTTTAGGGACCTTTATTCTCAAACTCTGAATTAGAACCACCTTTCACAGCATAATAAAGAGTAAGCCACATTAGGAAATTAATGCTCAGTAGCTTTCATTCAGGGAAGAAAAGAGCGAGAAAGAAACACCTTTTACAGCCAGAAACAGCACCACAGGAAATACCTTCAAGTTAAGTGGAATTTGTCCTATTTTGATGCGTTTTTGAGCACAGTTGTATGCGAATAGAGAGGCGATTAAAAGCCACACAGTATTCAGCAGAAAAAGTGTGTTCTCCATTCCCTAGCAATCATACAGCTAGGGTGCATTCTTTAGCGGATCCACGAAATGGTTTCAAATTGTTTAATGTAGCGAAAAACAGTTTAAAAATCAACAGTTTGCCTGCTGAAAAAGTGGACTGTAAGCAAAAACCCGGCTAATGATCAAGAGATGACCGGGTTAAGTTTGATTTATACAAGTCAGCATGCAGGAGTCGCTTTCAAATACCATCATCATTGTAGGAAAGCTTTATGAGCTGTAGCGGAAATATGCGCAAAAATCAAGAGAAAACTACGCAACTACTGGATAATTAGGTAAAAATTACACTGATCAGTGACCAGTGGGTGAAACAAGAGCCACAAAAGGCAGGAAAGAGGTAATCAGAACGGAGATTATCAAATATTGATTCCGCATATCAGATTTATTTTATTATAAGTTTTTTTCAGTTACTAAGAGACTTTGTTGCAAAGAAATGGTCGCAAACAGACACCGTCGCCATTTTTGCTGGTGCTATGCACTGTCTCGTGATGACAAAAGTATTACTTGCTGCGCGTTGTCGATGATAGGTGCCAGCAATAACAGACGCCTTTAATTTCTTATGGGCAGCGAAGGTAAACATAAGGGAAAATGTCACAGTTTTTAGTATAATTCTACAACGGCGTGAAAAAGCTCTCAAGCCTGCGTGCTGACAGCTGGGAATGTTAAATTCTGGTGTTTGCATGGTTCCCAGACGTTCAGCTTCCGCCCTTTTACAAGGTGCGCGGAGTGAATTAGGATGGCTGTATTATGCATCCTTTCCAAGAAGTCTTGGGCTCTACTTTTACGGCGCGGAAAGAGGAAGTTTATCTCTTGTTGCTATGTTACACTGAATCGGTAAAAACCACAAGCAAACATTCTCGCCAGCCAAAGTGACTTGGCAAGACTTACAACATGGCTGGCTCAGCAAAGGGAGCCAGCAAGCGAATCTTGCGTTCTGATTGGCTAAACGACTGGGACACTGATCGCGACTTCCCGCTCAAAATATTAGTAGAATTTTTGTGACGTAATCTATTTTCTGTTTTCCCTGAACAGCCATCAAAGCAGAGGTTTTGAAAGAGAGCATGGATAACAGCACTCGATTTGGCAGCAGAGTTTACAAATTGAAAATCCTAAAATTTTTCAAGGGAGCTTCTGAAATAAGCCGCACTAAAGGAACTCGAAGGGCGTCTAGGAAACGGATGGTTCGTGCCTACACTCCTCTGGAGGGCCCGGCTTGTGGTATACAACTCGAACGCTCAAAAACCTATCTTTTGCTTGGTTACCTCCGGGAAAACAAGTTAACCTTAAGGCGCTGCCAGTGGCACCAGCTGTGGGAAGAGATCACTCGTCAACAGCGCCGCGGGCTCAAGAGGCTGTACGGGCGAAACTGCGACTGTCGAATCGAAAAATTCTGCTTGAAACCGGAACCCGAGACATGTGATGATATGATTGACGGGTGCAATGTGCCGGATTCTGATTGGAAGGTGACCATTTGCAAGAAAAAATACTCCTTTTGTGTGAAAAATAAGAGCGGCAATTCTTGCCGCTGGGTGAAGAAATCGCCTGCTTTCAAAAAATGCTTGTCCAAAAACTAGGCATTTCATAAATGCGACTTTCATTATCGCTGAGTTAATCTTACGAACCTAGGAGTGATTTTAAGCGAAAATGTTGATAAGCTCTCGCTTTTCAACCACAAAGAAACAAAAACAAAATAGCATTTTCTTAAAAAAAAAAAATATGTGTACGTTATATTTAAGCTTTTTTTATTATTTTACGTTTTTTTTAAGTTCACTGTGAAAAGCATTTTTTTTTTTGCTTTTACGTTGTGTGTTATAGACTTCTTTCATAACGTGCGCGCTCAATCAGCGTGTGTAAATAAAAAGTATTACTTTTGGTGTTTGTATATTACAATTCTTATTAACGTAGCTGTTTCGTTGAAGAAGGTGATTGACGAGATACCTAAAGCGAGTCAGCGGTCTTAAGGGTAAAGCTTTCAGGTACTGAGATAGCACAGTTCAGGTAACTCTTGTTCCCAGGGCCTCTATTCCTTCCGTCCCTTAAAGAAGATATGTCCTGGGAACAAACGAGGATTAGATCGGTCTCTTTTACGTCTGATTCTCTTTATCATCAACTTCATCCTTTTTTAAACTGTACATCTCAACCATCTAATCTTTTTATATTTTTATAATTGTAGACCAAATAATAATAAGGATAAAATAGAAGAACGCCTTTATTCTCAAAACGTGTATTTTTTCTTTAGATTTATATTTAGAGCATTTTAAACACTCACCATTTCCTTATAATTCGGATAGTACGCCTGTTCAACTAATGGAAATGCATCCTTTCCCAGTCTTTTCTGGAGCTGAATCAGTTGAGCGAACTGTTAGAGGTCAAACAAGAGGTGTCAAGACAATCGATCAGCGGAGTGAGCCCACCACCATCGAGAACACGAGAAAACATGCATTTGGTCTCAGACTAGGGAAATGGAAGCAAAGTCAAAGTGCTGGAAAAGGGGCAATGTTAACTTGTCCCCCCCCTCTCCCCTCACCCACTTGAAATTTCGTTTTAAATAAACGCCTTTTAAGCAGTTTCAAGTTAGCGAGGCGTTAACTAGGCTTCATTGCGTACCAGGAAAACTTTGTGCAAATTTACCTGCCAAAGTTACGGGATCTCTTGTGTGTGTCCATGGCCTGTTTGACCAAATCTTGCACATTCGGGCGTGGTTCAGAAGGGGGTTGAGGTGTAATAAGCCTGCGCTCATTTAAGCGCAACAAGAACGATTACTCAGATAACTTAATAGATCAAAGGGGACAGTAAAATGCGGTAAGAACATCAGTGACACACTGGTCGGCGGCTTACAACATTTTCACGTCATCTGTGATCTATTACTGAACAGACGCATGGCAACATGGATTCTATTTGGTAACCAGACTTCAGTTACTACTTTCGCTGTTCACTTCAACGGTTTCGGGTTAACAAGCACAAACCAGACACTATCCTAAAATAAACATTTCGGATTACTTTCTACTTATAACTTACCACCCACGGTTTCTCGGCGAAATTGTAAATGGAGGTAAGGGAGTTCACGCAAGGTACATTTCCAAACTGCAAACCAAGCAGAATGTTACGGTAGTCTTCTTTTGGTCCAATCCCTCGCACACTCTGTCGAATAAGAACGAAGTCGGGGCGAAATGACCTGGAAAGCGATCGACAATAAAGAATTTCAGACGGAGACTAACAAGTCAAAACGACGATCAAGCGAGCAGGCGCACGAGCGAGCGCGCACGAAGATCGTATCGTTGATTTTGTAGTGTATTTAAAATATGAAAGTCAGGGCCTCCCGTATGTGCTATACCCTTGAGTTAACCTTTTCCCGTATACTCGGTTAATATCTAACGTTTGTATAGCTTGATAAAAACACGAGAGGGGTTGGCAGAATTCGAGACAGTAGAGAGATTAAGATTCACGTTTACCGCAAACGGCAAACGTCAGATTCAAGTTGAAAATTTCTCAGAATAAAAAATAAGCAGATAAAAACAGTCCCGAACGATTCCTTTGGTTAAAACTGGCATAAAACTACTTATTTTTGTGTAGAAGCAATAAAGAGTAAACGGAAAGTAAGGGGAAAACTTGGTCACGTGGTACAAACTCACTTCTGCCGTTTAGCATAAACGTGAATCTTAATCTTGCTAGTTGTGCAAACCCTCGACTTCGTCTCGGGTTTGCATAACTGTCTCGAATTCTCCCAACCCCTCTCGTGTTTATATCAGGCTATGCAAACAGAGGAAAACAGTTTTCTATTGCTTTTATAAAATAATTTTCCAGAGAAAAAACGCAAAACTCTTTGTTATGGCACTGATAAAAAGAGAAATTCTTACCAGTCGCAAAGTCTTGTACACGACGTCTTGCACGTGTAATCTTGTTTTGCAAAAAGATGCTATTCAAAATACGGATTTTTCTCGCTTAAGCGAAAAAAAATTGACACACCTTCGCAACGATTTTCCAAGTTTCAGCCGACGGAGGAATTGGTAAATAAAGTAAACTTGTCGAGTTTTGAACTCGAAAACTTTTTCAAATTCGTGCTTGAGTGATTAGCGCGCGAAAAGCAAAACATCTTGACGCCACAAAATACAAAACACTTCTCTCGGCCAACCAGAGCGCGCGTACTAGCTTAGTTATTTTATAAAAGTTAAAGTCACGTTTACGGCAAACGGCAATCGTCAGATTCAAGTTGAGAATTTCTCAAAAATAGAACTGGAGCTAAAAACAGTCCAAAACAATTGTTATAGACAAAACTAACGTGAAGCTAAAAATTTGGGGATAAAAGTAATGAACAGTAAGGCACCGGTTAAGGGAAGGCTTAGTCTAGTGGTACAAATTCACCTTTACCGTGAGTCTAAATCTCTCTACTTTTAGAACCATAATGTCCCGCAAACATTTTTTTCCGTGGACGTGCAGGGGCGGATCTAGGGGGAGAGTGCAGGGGGTGCGCACCCTCCCCCGCCCCCTGAGATGACCTGCGGTTTTCTAATACAACTGGTATTCTGCAAAAAAAAAACTATGTGGTTTATTGGTGTTGAAGTAGAGCAGGAGACGAGTGCATCCGCTCCTAAAAAAAAACCTGGATCCGCCCCTGACGTGTGCACAGAACCATAAGGGAAAAGGAGAGCGGCTCTCTCTTTGACTTGTTTCCACTGCTGTTTTCCCGAGTATAGACATGGGTTACGTGTAAGGAAGAGTAATCATTAGTAACATTTCTCGTGCTACTGACGTGTCCGCAACAATGTTAGTTTAAAAGTGAGGATTGTTTGCATGTTCGGCCTAAGTACTTAGAACAAAAGGACGACGCTTCTATTGTGGCAACACGAATTTTTGTTCGCGTGAAGGTGGTTATACGCGCAACAAACAAGGAAAGACCTCAACTTGTGCTTTAGTGAGTTTAATTTCAGGTTGACAAGGTAAATTTTATTAGGACTGAAGTAGTCCGCTTAAGCAGTGTTCGGTTTTAATGTAATGCAGTTTAAACAAAACTACTTCCATCCTTCAAATACAAGGCTCCCGTGCTGCTGAACTCATGGTTGGGCGAAAATGCTTACCTGACTACAACAGTCCCTTCGCGATAAACCTGAATATCCACCATTGTTCCACTATCCGAATACGAAGCTAGATTCAAGTCTCCAAACTCGGCCTGTAAACACACAAAAATGGAAGAATTTAAATGCGCCTTTCCTTATGGAAAACCACATCGGTTCGAGGCGTTCAAATGGCACGAAGAAGAAAACAGAGCGAAGAAAGAGAGGAAAACTGGTCAAGAAAAAAAAGCAAAGAAACTAAAGAGAGAAGGCGAGGGAACAAAGAAAAAAAGACGAAGGTTCATTTTTAATTTCTCTCCCTTTCTTCAGTTATTTTTGAAATTTTATTATTCCTTTTTTTTTCCTTTTTATTTATTCATATTTTTTAATTTTATTTCGCCCCGTTCTCCACTTCGCTTTTCGCCCCTCTTTATCCAGAAAAAACCAGTTAGCAATGTGTGTTTTCAATACATATCGTTGCTATTTTACAATGTTAATTATTATTTGAATTTTCTATATGGGTATTAAATTTCGCGATTTTTTTACAATCTCCAAAAGCGCGAATTTCAAGGATCCGCAAAAACCAGTAAGGTATATAAAAATACGGTGGATTGGGAGTAGTAATTATATCGATTGATACGAGACTCACTGGTCAATTAGAAAGTAAGCCATATGATTGCACAGGAAGTCCAACCCCAGCTTTCCAGCCTTGCAAATACAGATGTCCAGGGGAAATATGTTTGTGACGTAATTGAGTTAATACATTGGGCAGTCCGTGTTTTGGCGGGAAACGTGTCACCCGGTTGGTCATTATTGCGGGAAACAAGGCACGTAATGTATAGTGGAGCAGTAGGGTGTGAAAGGGTTTCGGATTGGCTGAGTTTATTAAACCAAAGCCCAAACGTCCAGTCATAATATAACTTTGTTGTCCCTCTCGTTTAGCAGCAAATATTCCAGTTGGGATTGAATATTTATTGTTATTTTTTTTTTCAACACAGAATACCTAATACTAATCAGTGAGTAATAATCAAGTTAGTTTTCTGCGAATGCGAAAATCATGCAGGCGCACGTTCTATAAATTAGACACAAGTAGCGATGGAAAGTTTAAAAATACAGGATATAGAAACACAGTGACGAATACATTTGAGTCGCTTGGAGTTAGTTCGGACGAGTTTATTCTAAACGATGTCCCCATGGCGCCTGAGAGAAACCTTTAATGAAAAACAATTTTCAGAAGCATATAATAAGAAAACTAATTATACTTCGAAACGACTTGACATTTTCATTTTCCCTAGCTGACTCAATCGTGTATTGTCTGCATTTCGCTATTAGGTAAAAAATGCAAATAGGCACAAATTGCGTTTCTTATAAATTTTTTACGGGATGAAATACGTTTACTCCCGCATTCGTGCTTTTTACGCGATTAGAAGAAACGTTTTGCACATGGGCAAAGTCCGTTTTATCTTCTCCATTTTTTTCAGAAAAGGGCAGTCAGAGCGAAAATCTCTTCTCTCCTTCGTTAA